GGTTGTTAGTTTTCCAGCTCCAAGGCAGAATTAAACATTTTGCCCAAATGTGGCCCAAAATAGTATAACCTGTTCTTAAAAGCTTTTGAATATCTGAGGTAAATAACCTTTGCTGCAGGGTAAGATGATTTTTTTTTCTTCCCATGTCAAATAAAGAACAGCTTTCTGTAAAAATCATTTATGTATTTGAAGACTATTATGTTTCCTTTGATCTTTCACTCGTTTCCTTTCTTGACTAAGCAAATCCAATTCCTTCAGCTTCCTCTAGTAATTCAGATTTTCTAAACATCAGTGATTTAAAAAGTCTCCATATTGATTACAAACTGTGTAAGGCACGGTCCCCAAAAGCAGATATGATATTCCACATAGGATCTCAAAAGTACCAAGCGCAGGAAGGTGATTCATTCTTCTGCCTTCCATGAAACTGCTCTGTCACCATACCCGTGACAGGTATTTGCTTGACTTTGTAACAGCACGATCTGCTCACATGTAACTGGCCTGTGGCCCACCTTTCCTGGCCATTATTTCTCGCTTTGTTCATTGAATGTTTCCTTCCCAAGCATTCTATGCCCTTCTCGATGGTTTCTGTATCTCTTTTTGTTCATTTCAGACAACTCTCCATCATTCGGATATCAAATCCCATCTTCCAAAATAATTCCAACTCTTCCTCCATAGGAGCCATTCACAAATTGTTCAATATGCTCTCTGGCCTGCCATCAAAGTTATTAATTAAAATTTTGCATAGAAACAGATGTAGGGTGGGTCCCAAGAGCATCCCTTTGCAATGTGTCCTGGTTGGACAGTGAACCACTGATCCATTCTGAGAATTATTTTTTTCCATATTCTTAGCTCTATTTACTTATTTTAATTGCAACAATGGCACAAGAGTCAATATATATCATGTCTTCTCTTGCTACCCTGTCTATTGGGATGATTACCCTGTCAAAGACAGAAAGCAGATTGGCTTGCTCCTGACAAGTACATGTTGGCTGTTTCCCATCACATTAGTATTCTGTAGGCTTAAATAATTTATTCTATTTAAATTACGTTATTTAAATTGTTTATTCTAGTTTCCTTGCGTAAATCTAAGTGAGACTGGCTTCCTCTTGATGTCCTTTCTCTCTGTTTTGGAAACAAATATTGTGTTTGCTTTTCTTCACTTGCTGGAAATCTTGAAGATTATCTGCTAGTTCACAGTAGTTTAATTAGTAGATTAATTTCATGATTTCCTAACTGTTTGTGTAACCTAATTTATCTAAATATTCTTCAAGACTTTATTTCCTTTTTGTAGTCTAAACTTCTGATCCCTGGTTAAAACTCTACTAATTTATTGATGACTACTATTAACTTTTTGTAAAGACCAAAGAAAAATGCACCTTCCCCTGTCATCTGTTATTTACTTTTCTTTTTTTTTCTGATTTGCTCTTGCTTTTTGTGCATTTATAAAACCTTATCCTAGTTCTAATTCATGTTATGCTGTCATCCTGACTTTGGTTCTTCACACCATCCCTTATAATTACTGATAGTCATGGTTTTTAATGATTTCTTTTTGATTTCTATGGCATTGAAGAGTTCCTGATGCTGTCATACCAGACCTCATCATACTCTGCTTTCCACTGGGATAGGCTGCTTGTTGTGCCTTTAATATTGTTTCGTTAAGGGAATGTAATTTTCTGACCACAGTGACTTTTTGTTGGAAAAAGTTAAGAAACTGTTAAAATGTAATCCTGATGAATCTTTGGGAAAACCAGAATTCAGAGGAACTAGCAGGTAGTGGTGACATACCTATCTGACAAAATTCAGTGTTATACAGAAATAACCAATGGTGCACAGAAATACGAGCTTTCTTTACGGAGTAAAGAAGCTGTCAGGATGGCATTGCAATGTTGTGCCCATATTAATTGGCTCAGTAGTGCAATGTAGTACACTGATATGTTCTGATACTCACACTGGGTTTCTTCTTGCTCAGCATCTCATTGAATTTTACCATAAAGACAGAACCTCATATAGTAAGGAAACTCTGCTGGACCTTTTATTTAGACTTCTTTTTTTCCCCAGGAGACTCATCTACCTTGTAAACTTTAAGAATTATGCTATTTGCAATTACACAGACCTTCTTCTCAGACAGTGTAAATTAGAGAACTACACAGGTTTACGTCTCTTAGGTTCCCCTCACTTTCTCTGCTAAATTACCACATGACTAAAAGATCACAGATTAAAGCAAAGTTAATTTTCATGTGCTGGTATTAGCACCAAGGAAAGCCGTTTGTTGCTCTTCACTCCAGGAATCCTTTTCTCCCACTGAGATGAAGAGTCTCATCAGGTATTGCAGTAACATAAAATAGCTTTACTGAGTTGAGTATCTGACACCTAATAGGAGAGGAAAAAGTGATGTCTTCTCCTTTGCATTTGGAGGAAAGAAACTGCTTATCTAAATTAATACAAAAAGCTTCTTCTTATCCCTTGCCCATCTCAGAGTCCAAGAGCTCAGCATATACAAGATTTTATTAAAACAGAACATGATCTATCTATATAAAGAAGAAAGCCACCTTGACAGAGGTAAAGCCCTGTTAAAAAATCCGTCCTGCATATGATTCGGAACAATTCCTTAGCCAAAGTGGAAACATGAGTGCCAGTCCTCTTTCCATTACTGCAAGTGGCAGAAATCCTACTTATTTCAATAACACAGGAATGGCTGCATCCTGCTAACAATAACAAAGCCATCAGTATACAGCAAAGGGGATGATTTCTGTTGTTTGGCGATATTAAATCTCAGATAAAATTATGCTATGAATACACTAGGAAAGTGAGTATGATCTCTTTCTTAAGACAGTGAAAACGTTGTGGAACGTATTGCATACTCACAGGGCAAATTTGTCTCCTTGAACAGCAAGTTAAGCATTTGAAAGCAGAACATTCTAAACTTTTGCTGATACATCATGTCTAGATTTGTTTCTTGTCGGTACAGGTTACTCCACGCAACTGGCAAAAATCCTTCATTATATAAGCATATACGATACACGTTGAGTACAAGGAAAAATCACCACGTTAGGCTTGACGCTCCTCTTCTGCCAATACTTCCTACTACAGACCTGGCTTTAGAACACCTACAGAAATTTCTTGCCTCCTTTGACAATCTCCTGAAGATTAAGAGAACACATGCTTACCCAAACTCTAGTATTTTACTATGTATTAGTACATATAATAATTCAACATATTATTTGAAGCTTTATAATGCACCTGAACAATATTTTTCAGCAATAATAAAGAAACACTATCATTACTGTGATTCATGCATGATTTGTGATGGTAAAAGCCGCCACAGAAATAACTTTGTAATTTGCAGCCATATTGTAGCGCTGAAAGGGCCACAGTCCATAACCACGCAGTTCTACCTGTCACCCAAGTGTCCTTCTGCATTCCTCACCCATTCTAGCTCTCACACAGCAGCCATGCAAACAGGGATTTCGGCTTGCTGTGGATGGAAAGGGCTGTAGTTCTGCATTTCCAGCAGCAACCTCAGCCCAGCTACTCTATTTGTCTGTAGACTGTTCACAAGTACTGCTGGGGCACAGACTCTATTGAGCCAGACAACTTCTGCACATTGCTAAATAACCTTTTCAACAAATCTGGCTTGTCCTTCACTTCCTTACCCTGGATTTCTAGAGATGCCACATCACCTTTGGGCATACAATGGTTGTTACCCCATCTGGGCAAAGGATGGAAAACCCACTAATAAGGACTGTTAGCTATTGGTCATGTTCCTTATATCATGACTGAAAGATTTTCAGATGGTGTAGCTGAGCGTGGTTCACAGCCCTGTACAATGGTGTACTAGTGACAATAATGTAATCTCAATATTTCCATCAAAGGTCAAGTTGTATGACATGGACCTGGACTTGAAAAGTAAAGTCCTTCAGGGTTTAAAGAAAGGTCACCCAAGATGTGGAGAAGAGGCTGTGTAAGGCTACTCACTAACTTCAAGAGATGTGAGGTATTAACTTTTCACTTCGATTAAAAAGACTTAGAGAACTTCACACTCCTTTGGTTAAGAAAAGGAAAATCAAGTTTGCTGAGTATTATAATTTTTTTTTTATTTATAGTATTGTCCAACTTTTAATCAGTATAAGCTTAATAACTAACTTTTAAAAGGCAGCTGAGTAATTTCAAGACTCCCAAAACAAGACTCAAAATTTAAAAGAGAAAAAAATAAAGGCTAAAGCTACCATTCAATGTCTGCTTCAAAAGTGGCAAAGACAGGTAGCTCCTCCATTGCTTTCCATTGAAAAGGGCAACTAAACAAAAAGGCAAAATCTTACAAGAAATTAAATCTGAGGTTATTTGCTGAACATTTTAAGGCAGCAGTGCCACTGAAACAAGCACTTCTGCTTGCTTTGTCCTCGGCTCCCGGTTCTTCCTCTGCAGTATCCCCTGCTTTTGCTGAAACAGGTCTCTGCAGTGAAGCCATGGGTAACTGATTTCACTAAAAGCAACCTTTCTTTTTACTGGTTACTTTCCAGCCAAATCAGTGTCGTGGTCATCCTTACCAGCACAAGAACGACAGCGTTGGCCAACAAACCATGGAGCATGGGAATAAAAACCAGTATTTGGAAAGGCGCTGAAGGATTTAATACTGAGCTTCGAATATGCTCAGTGTTCCTAAGCAAGTTTTGTTGTATTTTCCTCTGGCCAGACTAAACATTTCAAATTTCTACCATGTAATAAGGCAAAATAAAGGCTTTCCTTTCCTGTTTTGCACGTTGTACTTCAGTTCTGCTTGGACCAGAATAAAACAGCTCACACTTGTGTGACTAACCTCTTTTGCAGTTTTTCACTGAGTTTGCAGTAATATGCATTTCTTGCATTAGTATAGATTTACCTGATCTACAAGCCCAAAATATTCTGTTGGTCACTGAACAAAAAACAAACCTGGAAGAGACTAAATGCTTTAGACCCTTTCGAGGTCTGACCTAGAGTCACTGGCAGTACAGAGAACTTACCAGCAACAGACAGGACAGCATCAAAGCACTCACTTCTATTAGGCAGACGCAAGCTATGGCATACCATTACTTTATGGTCTTCATTTCGTGCTGATTCCACCAATGGGAAACAGTAGTCACAACCCAGTTTATAGACTTCAGAACTGATGTGAAGTTATTTGCCGTTTCCGCAGCCTGAAGAAATAATGAGGAGGAGAAAGAAAGGCGGACATTTGGTGTCTGTACAAAAGAAAATGTATTTCTGACATAAGCTATGATGTACGCCCTTGACTGGCCTAATAGCTTGAAATTCTCCACCCATTTTAAAGGAGATGATACATTTGCAGTGGAATTCAGGTTATTTTTTACCATCACAGTACAATGAGCACAGATCGCTCCTTTCTGTCTAGCAGACTCTCTGCTGCGTGACAGGAGGTGTTCAAATGGGATTGCTAGACAGCATTTACCTTGGCCTTCCCACCACATACAGAATCAAAAATATTTATGGTAATGATGCTACTGCAATTCTGTTTGTAATAGACTCAAAATGCTAAGTGAAAGCATCATGTAGTGGGAGCACAGCACTGAATTATTCCTGTGTATTGAAACGCTGACAGACAAACTAGACTGCTAAGTAATTAAGTCACTATTAGACCAAACCATTAAATCCATTGTTTGCTGTTTTAACTGCTGCTAATTGCTGTCACCATGACAACAGTGGCATTTCTTTTTCTGGTATCTCCATGCAGTTTCCTTTTCATAATGGAGACTGCGACACGGAAATTTATATCTTCCCAAATTGAAATACTTCTTGTGTTGAAATAAAGGCAGACATCTTTAGATGGGAATGATTTTCATGTCAGCAGTAAAATGGATCTTATCTAAAATTTTGATAATTTTTTTGCAGAAATATTTGGATCTTAACACAAAGTGTATTTTAAAGTAAATGCATTGGGCTAACATAATACCCCATACCTTGTGCAGACCTTAGTTCACATCCTGTTTATGGCTATGCTTACATCAAACATTAAACTTGGGTCAGAGCCCAGATTTTCTAATTCATTTAAAAAAAAATACAGTTATTTTTGAGCCTTCAAAATATTTAAGCCCCTATATTTAGATTATAGCCATCGCATAGAACTTATTCTGAAAGCCTGTGTGCATCCCTATGTTTGGTAAGAAGCCTCCCAGCCTCATCAATCTGTTATGCCTTTTGAATGGGAGATGAATCATCACTGAGCTGCAGATAGAAGTCTGCTCCTAACTGCCTGTCTGATATTAACTACTGACCCCATCTCCCAGGAACGACGAAAAGATATCCAGAGATAAGCTGGAGCACTCTCAGTCCTTCCTGTGACTGACTTCAGCACCAGCTGAGAAGAGGTGCTGTGAAATGGTGCCAGCACTTGCCTAATATTAGACTCTTATCCAAGGAGAAAGAGCAGAAAGAGGACTACTCTAGAGCTCTGACTTGGAAGAGAACTCCAGCACTTTTTCTGGTTTTCGTTTTTGGAAGGCAAACCTCCTCTATAAGCCAAACGACAGCTACTAAAATCATTTCCTCTAATCCGACACCAGAGGCTGCTCCCAGGGATGGAGGGACAGAGGAGAGCCCTACCAGTAGACTCCTCTCCAGGGCCCTGGCACCACTGTTGGCAATTGTGTTTCATGTGAAACTCATCTCTGGCCATGGACACCAAGGCCCAGGAGCCAGGCCTCAGCTTAAATTACAGCATTAACAAAGTTCAAAGTCTGTAACACTGGTAAAAATTAAATGTACTGCTTCTTTGTATGTGTTTTATTTGTTCACATTGAAAACACTGTAAAATCTGCCAAGGTCTGGTAGGAATATAGTTCCCAGCATTTAGACTGTGATAAAGTGACTGAGGAAAAGTATATGGTGAAGTTTGCATGACACCCAAAAAGTTAGTGTGATTAGCCCAACCCTCAGTAATTCTTCTCTTTCACAAATGTTCCCATGCTATAGTGGGGAGACTACACATATGTGTTGCTGGAAAGGATTACAGGTCCAAAAAGCTATTTAGAAGTCTAAACTAAACATGTAGAAATGATGAGTTAATGCGCAGATCTCATTTGGACAACTAGCATGTGTCCACTTCTGGTGCAGTTGCTGAAGCCAGTACAGAGGCTTCCCCCTTACCATTTAGACATTCTCAAACCTTTGGGGAATTAAAAACTGTCACACGTTGTTCCCCAAGGCACTCAGGACTTGCTTTAAATTTGTCACACACAATACATGTTGTAAGAGCTAAAAAAGAGTTCATATTCCAGAATTATCGTACCAATACACAACATGAACATTCACTAACAACATCTTAATAGATTTATCTTCAGTTTAGTGCTTCAGTTTAGTTGACCTACCGGATACTGGGAAAAGTCAAATTGTCTTCATGTACCTATGAATGGTGGAGCAAAGCAGGAGGCAAATTCGATAGTCAGTTTGGCCATTTTTGATTTTTACTACGATTCACAATATTGCTCGATAGAAAGAGAGGACATACAGACTGTCATTAGCAATGTGACAGACAACCCTACTCACCAATATCAGCAATCAGGCTGCCTGGTTCCTGCTCTGAAATGAACTGCTGCACCTTTGGCCGTGCCTTGTAGCGTCTGTCACTGAAACAAGGAGTAATATTCTCATATGCACTGTGAACATGGTCCCTCTTGAGTTGGATTGCCTCCTTCGCCATCACAATCAAGGCTGGGCTAACTCATTGAAGGCATTGCAACTGTCGCAGAGAAAGGGAAGGGAGAAAAACAAGTTCTGAAACTTGTTACCAAAGCACATTTCCCTAAGTTAAGCAGTTTGACATTGTCTATTTAGGAAATAGTATTTCCAAGTACTATGTTGCCATTAAAGAGAAGTTGCCGAGGATTTTAGCGGAAGAAAGGTCATCTCTTCTATGATTTTATATAATGTATTGTTTTCTTATATAAATCTGAAAGGAATTCTATGACCTACTACTCAGTGTTTATTAACCTGCTTATATTGTTATACTTTGGAAGCTGTTAACTTTTGCTTCATAAAGTCTTCCACTCCTTTTCAGTCTACCCTTGAAAAAGATATTTTCTAAGTAAGTCCTTCGTTTACACACACATTGTCAAAAAACAGCAACTGAAAATGATGATAAGTATCAAAACATGCTCAGAGCCTGAAACAAAAGCTCCGAGAAGAGTCATTTCTTCTCTGTTTCATTCAGCACCCAGGAAGGTCCATGCTTACAGACTTCCCATTGCAATATTCATTGACATTGTGTGTTACTGTGAACAAAAATCCTTCCAGCTTTCCAAGCATCCTTTTTTTTCAGCTGGCATGGTGCACTGGTTTCGCAATGGACACAGGAAAACCTTGTGATATTGTGAATAACCTGCTGCAGCCTAAGTCACTGTTCGCCATGAAGATCTGTACAGAAACGCTGTACAATTGCAAACTTCATTGAACATATGCTGTCCATGCCAGGATTTCCACTGATTTATGTGAAGATTTGGGCCACCAAGACAGGCTGCTCCTGCTCCACTGGCATGCTGCAAACAGCTGCATGCAGAATAACTTCTCCTCTGAGCCAAAGGTATCAATGACAGCACCTCACCCAAGATCTCTGCACTGCAGGCTGGCCACTAAGCTGACCCCTGATACTGTCCTTATCTGGTCCTTATTTTCAAACACATAATCATTTAAAATCCTGTCAACTCAAAAGACTATTGTTCTGAGATTTCCTAGGCAATTACATCAAAGAGAAACATTGGAGCAAACTAAGCCCAAATTCGATTCTGCAGTAACAGTAAGAAAATAACTCTGGAGAGGTTTTTGTTATGTCACTTATTAATCTGAAAAACTGTGCTAGGATTTAATACTGTAGCCCTTGGTGTCTTCTGTCAGATCAGATGTTCACTCAGCACCACTCTGAAATTTCCCAGACTGCAAGTTTCCTGAATATCCTGCCTAGATGAAAGTGATGACAAGTATTGGAGAAGGGTGAAGAAATTCTTTGGAAGATCATCACTGTTCTCTTCATTATACGTGTTGCTAAATAACAGCCACTTTAGTAACACAGACAATATTAAAAAAAAAAAGACAATGAAAGTAAGTTGCCTTGGTTCAGTTTCTCCTACACTACAATGCATATCTTTTTAGCTTCTAGTGAGATTTAAAACCATCACCTGGAAAGCACTTACACAGGTGCTTAACTCTGTGTGTGCAAACAATACTGCTGACTGAATCCAGTGGGGATATTCCAGGCACAGAGTTCACCATGTGCGTTAGTGTGTACAAGGCTGGCTCTCCAAGGCAGAAGGATTTTTTTTTTTTTTTACTGTTCTTCATTATAACCAAACTCTGCTGTAGAAGCTAGTTTTTAAAAAATACCTTCAGCAAAACCCCGGCTGAAATAGCTGAAGTGCTCTACTGGGGATCATTTCTAGAGGAAGCTGATGTGTTATCAAACATACAGGGAAAAGCAGAAGGAGGCGAGAGAAGGAGAGGGAAATTGTTCTTTTGAAAAGCTGCAACATCATTTCAAAGCTTTGCTATTGCTTCATTTGACAAGAGGAAATAATAACTGGTGAACTGGTGTAAGATCACAGGAGTGGGAAGAACAGAGCTGTTTCTGTTTAACTCTAGGCTTACACTCAGGATAGCTCACTTAGGCAGAGGGACAGCCTGGAAGTTGCTACCAGCTGGAGACACTTCATTACCAGGAAAAGAAAAAAGGTGCATATGAAAGCACCTAGCAAGAGAATGCACGTGGTAAGACAGCCTTTCAAACTAACGCAAAAAATTGTTTACATGCAAAAAACCCATCATGAGTTGTGTGTAAACCAGTCTCTCCTCTGGAACAGGAGCAAAAACGATGCAACAGGGGCTAGGATTAAATTCCACCTACAATTAAGAAAAACATAGAATGCTTAGTTTTAAAACAGTAGCTCCAAGAGTGGGGGCAGCAGTTTGGACTCTCTGAAATTTGAAAGTCCAGCTCTGCAAGGCACTATTAAAATAAATTTTCTGTGAGGTTCTGATGAGAAAGTAACCCTTTGTGGGGGAGGCTGGAGGAAGTGATCAGTCAGGTCAGTCCCCAGCAACCCCCAGCAGTCACGCTGTGGACGTGTCTGCCTAGAGGAGCCCTGTGAATACCCATCTCCTACACTTACCAAGCCATAAACCACAAAATGCTTGTCAACACTCCATTTAATGCTTTTAGTACAACAGAATGAAAACTGTATAAAATACAGTGCGCCAGAGGAAGAGAGCAGAGAGATGTTTGAAGGCACAGCCGCTAAGTTTACTAAATAAAAATGTTCAGAGAATCCTGTGAAGCTGGTTAAGACCCACATTGCAAAAGCAAGAAAAAAAACAAAATCGAAAAGCAAACAGGGATGCCCAACCAATGTAGCCTGGGGGAAAATTGTTTCTGGGAGATTGACTCAGGTTCAGACATATGATTTACACTTGCCAATCTGAACCTCAGAGACTTTCCAGTTTCTCTGTCATCCCCAACGTCCTTTCTTTAGTCACAGGGAAAGCCAGAAAATAACTTAGAAATCAAGCTATGCATCAGGAAAAGAAATCATTTTCTGCCCAACACAAAATTGGATATTTAGTGCTGCAAATGTCACACAATGGCATTTTGCATTGGCATTGTTTGCTTACTTGCATAGCAAAGGCATTGGGGAATGCAGATATTTTCTTTTGAGCATACTCACCCCTACCTTTATGCAAAATAAAATAAAATAAAAAAATTCTATTCATCTGGGGCTGGCAGGAAAGCAAAACAAAGAGGTGCAGAGCAGTAGTTCAGCCTGACTGCCTGTCACCTAATCTTGAGCTAAATTTGACACAACTTGATTGAAAGTGAAATTAAATTTGAGTTTACAATCCATTAAAAACTTCCGAGTTCATAAGTGATTAATAACTTTCTGAACACTGTGAACCTTCTGACTGTTGGTGTAGGCTGCGAGCCTCATGCAGGCTGTGCCTGAAATTTTGGGGAGCCCCGGCACCCTGCAGCATCTCTCCCCAGAGCGTACCTCAGACAGCTGGTGGAGGGGACTCTGGCTCCCGCATCCAGAGCAGGAGCTCATCCTCAGGATGTGGGGAGGTGGCATCTGCTGTGTTGAGTGCCTAAAATTTCTCTTTGGATTTAAAATGAAATTGTTTGCGAGGTGGATAGGCTTTCTAATTCTAAATAACTGGATGCAACCCGGCCCCACCAAGCCTTCCTTGACACCGGCCGGAGAGAGAAAAGTGGAGCTGCCAAGCTGAGCTAGGCTTCTGCAAGAACAAGATTAGGTAAAGTCTTGCAGTAATTAATGCCAGCAGATGACATAACAGCTGGTCTACTGTAGCTGAAAATGCAGACCGACAACTCCAGAAACATGCCATTTCTAATACCTGTGAAAGAGATGGCAGTCCTTTCCTCCCCTCAGTTACAGGAGTATTTTTGTGATGATACATTTGGAAAGCCTGAATAATTCTTCTCCTTCTCTGCACCCCCCTACACCATCATCATTCCCACCTCTTATACAAATCTTACATTGTGACTGCATTGAAACAGCTTTTCTCTGAAGCACCTAATCTGTGTGTGAAGCACTGAAAATATTCAGCTGGACCTTAGTAGGGTCCCTTCAGGGACCTTCAGCAAGTTTTCTTCTTCCAGTAGTAGCAGCAGCCACAACAGGAGCGCTCTGCCAGTCAGACCAACAGCCCCTACCCCTGCGAAGCAGATAAGAAAAGAACAAGAGAGGAAAAACTGTAAAATCGGCCTTAAAGCCATTGAATGACAGTTCTCATGAGGTGTCAGGATCTGGGGAAGGACTGATTAACAGAAGGAGAAATGCAGTACAGGGCACAGAGGGGCTAGGAGAAAAGGAGAAATGAAAGAAGCTATATGGAAAGAAAATGATAAAAGGGAATGTTATAAATCATAAAGAGGGAAAATTAAGGGCAAGGAAGGAAATGAAAACCAGGAGGAAAAAACTGAGAAAAGAAGAGGGGATAAAAAAAGCAAACACATGCAGAGAAACTCCAGGTTAGTATTTTAATTAGTTTGCCTTGCTGCATTTTTCCCAGATACCATCATGCACGGGCACAGCATCAGAACTTGACAGTTAATCAGCCATTTGGGGATTCCTCATAATGCTGTATTAATATTACCACAGTGCAGCGAGACCTTCCTGCAGCCTCCCAGTTCCTGCAGCACATCCCACTGGCCTTATCCTCACCCTTTTACAGGCTCCACTGCCCCTCTTCCACCAACCTAAAGCCACCGGCAATGGCCGCGTAAGGCCGGAACGTGCCTTTCTGAATTCCCCCCGCCTTGCACGTTCTGCTGCGGAGGTGGTTATGTGCATAAGAGAAGCAAGAAGGAAAAACTAGAAGAGAAGGATGGGATTTGTGAGACTGAGCCAGCAGCTCACTCAGAAAAAGCCACAACTTTTGAAAAACTTGACATGAGGACATGTTCAGCTAATCCAGGAAATTAACCCCGAAGGGTAGCCTCACTGATTGCCAATAACCAATACTGCTCCCAGAGCTGCAGGAGTAGGCAGGGAGAGAAGCCTGCCTGAAAAGGCCCAGTGTATTTAAAGGGAAAATGAGGGCAAAGATAACTCTGGAGAGGACATGGTGTTGCTTCCTGGGTATCCTCATAGAAAGCTGGAGCATGGAGTCTTATGCACAGTCCTGGAGTCTCAA